TCCCCATCTTCCATTACTCCTTAATCTTTATTAACCCCATGTTGCCCCCACTGTACTTTCGTATCACATCTGCTCTGCTGTCCCCTTGTTGCTTGTAATTGAAGAATTGACTCATGGAACCTTCAAAATGTTGTTAAACACCTTCAAATAGGAAAAAGGGATTTGTTTGCTGTATTTGTTCCATTTTTTGAGACAGTCTCATGTAGCCCTGAACTCCTGACCCTCCTGCCTTTACCTATCAATTGTGGGGATTACAAGTGTGTACCACTATGTTTAGCTTTGTTTACTTGTTTGTTTGTTTGTTTGTTTGTTTTGAGATAGGATCTTGCTACATAGTCATGGCTGGCTTGGAAGTCACTGTGTAGACCAAGCTGACCTTGAGTTTATAGCAATCCTCCTGTCTTTGCCTCCTGAATGTTGGGATTGTAGGCATGTACTGCCTGCCACAAACTGGGTCAGGAGTGTGTGTGTGTGTGTGTGTGTGTGTGTGTGTGTGTGTGTCTTCTGTCTGTCTGTCTGTCTGTCTGGGCTTTGGTTAAGTAATCCTGGAACAATCCTCTGGAAATTATATTGAACAACTGAGCCAGGTGACAGCAGACTTACAAGAGAGCTAGCTTTTGTGGTCATCTGTTGTGTGTATCTTGGAAGACCTTCCAAAGTAGTTGTCCTTCACCATCTCTCTGGCCTTTCTGGTAGTATTATCATGTGCCATACAAGAATGAAGGCCAGGGATTGGTTTTTGTGATTAAACATTTTTTTTAAATGCCTTCAAGTGTCTGGCCCTAATTATTCAGTTTGATCTTTGTTCCTGCTCCCCTCTGCCCTCAGGTCATACTTAAAAAAAACAAAAAAACAAAGAAACAAAAACAAAACACAACCCACAAGTAGTGTTTTGGGGTCTTTTTGCATCTATACTTGCTGTTCCCTCTGCCAAAATAACATTTTTAGTCTCCCTTAGCTATAGTTCCCATGTTGTCATCTTGTGGAACATTTCCCAACTCCTCTCTTTCCCTCCATCCCCAAATTTGCCAGCTGGTTATTCCCTCCTTTGTGTCCCTTTGGGACTTATACCCTTCCCTCTAGTATAAGATAGAAATGATCATGTGTTGTTTTTGTTTGTTTGTTTGTTTGGTCTTTTTGAAACAGGGTCTCCCTGTAGCCCCAGCACTCACTATATAAACCAGCCTGGCCATGAATTCACAGAGCTCTACCTGCCTCTGCCTCCCAGGTGCTGGGACTACAGGTGTGCGCCACCATGCCTAGCTTTTTAAAAAATTTTAAACTTTGTATTTTTTAAAAAATTTTATGTGTATGCATATGCCTGCATGTAGTAGGTAAGTGCACCCGTGTTGTGCATTGCCTGAGGAGGACAGAAGAGGCTGTCAGATCCCCTGGAACTGGAGTTACAGACAGGTGTTAGCTGCCATGTCGGTGCTGGGATTCAAACCCGGGTCTTCTGCAAGAACAACCAGTATTCTTAACTGCTGAGCCATCTCTCCAGTCCCCTAAATTTTGTATTTTTAAAAAATATTTTATTTATCAAAACATATTTTATGTGTATGAGTGTTTTGCCTTCATGTATGTAAGTGCTGTTTAATGCCTGAGGAGGTCAGAAGAAGGCGTTGGATCCCCTGGAACTGGAGTTACAGGTGGTTGTTAGCTGCCATGGGGGTGCTGGGAACCAAACCAGGGTCTTCTGCAGGAGGAGCCAGTGCTCTTAAATACTGAGCCATCTCTCCAGCCCCTCAGGGATTATATTTTTAATGTGATTGATTTTGACAAACTACAAGCTCTTCAAAGGTAGAATTAGGATTGCATTTTCATCTAGTCAGAGGTGTGACACAATTGAGTCACATGGCTGAAGAGGAGGGGAACAGAGAATAGATAGAATATTCTCTACTGTCTCTTTCTGTATCTCTATGCCTTGGCCACTTCAGGGTTAGCTACAGTAAAGACTCCATTGAAAAGGTTACCTAATTTTAAAAAGATGAAATAGTGATACTTGAAATTTGTAGAGCTGAGTGGTAGCCAAGCAGCTTATTGGTTTCTGTGGAGACATTAGGTATCTTTTTTTAAGACAAGCTCTCAAAAGTTCTCACTATGTAGTACTAGCTGGCCTGGAACTCACTGTGTAGACCAGGCTTACCTTCAACACTCAGAGATCTGCCTGTCACAGCCTCCCAGGTGCTGGGCTTAAAGACATGCATAATCACATCCAACTGTATTAGGTATCTTGTTGTACATATAATCTTTTTTTTTTTTTTGGCTTTTTGAGACAGGGTCTCCCTGTAGCCCCAGCTGGCCTGGAACTCACAGAGATCCACCTGCCTCTGGGATAAAGGTATGTGCCACCACGCCCAGCTTGTACACATTATCTTAATACTTGCTCTTCCTTCTCTTGGTCGTGAGATAGATTCTGGGAAGCCTGGTGATATTTTTCCAGAATGCCTTCTTACATGTATTTGAAGTTTTCTGTTGGTTTTAGAGAAGAAGATTCCCTTGTGCTTGTTAATTTTATCAAATCTCAAATAATAGCTCTTTCTTCCATAATGTGTTAATGTCGATACCGTTGTGATCAGACTGGGTTGGGAACGTCACACTTTAGACCACTTATGGAGTAATAGTTTGATACCTGATCCTAGCACAGATTTTTGCTGATTTTATTTAATCTCTCTTGGTATACCTTTCTCTTCATTACTGACCTGAAACTCAAAATTTATTGCATTCACCATTGGATATGTGTTTTAATACCAATAGTTTCAAAATGAAACAAAACGAGAGGGAGGGACTTACACTGCACACAATTTGCTCAAAAAAGCCCTTTCCTAAATCCCAGTCAGTGAAGGTTTGTGTTTTCCCTCTATTTCTGTTTGTTAAGGAAAAAGTAGCACGTCTGTTTCTAGAGGGCAGCTGGTTAAGTTTATGCCCCTGCTCCCTTAGAGTCATTCATAGACAGAACAAAACTAGCAGGAAGAGGAATACCTCCAAGGCAGAAATTTAATTTTTAATTTTTTTTTTTTTAATCTTTTTGAGACAGGGTCTCTGTAGCTCTAGCTGGTCTGGAACTCACTATGTAGACCAGGCTGGCTTTAAACTCAGAGATCTGCCTGCCTCTGCCTCCCAAGTGCTGAAATTAAAGGCATACACTGCCATGCCTGGCTATTAATCTGCATATTGCAGACTAGTAAACTTTGTTGCAGAAAAAGAAGGAAGAAGGAGGCACTTGAAATGAACTCTATTGAGTTGAGGCAAAGAACCTGATGTTGGTCAGGGCTACCTTTCTTTCAGGAGGGTACTATTAGAAGCAACTGTTGAATTCTTCCTAAAACCCTGTAATGGTTTGAAGCTCTGCATGGGTTAAGTGAAGAATTTTTGTTGGAGCTTGTGTTTTGTTAATTTCATCTGTCCTTCCTTCCCTTCTAGTTCCTGTAAAGAGGGTCTCCTGAAGTGTTCAATACTGCCTGTGCACTGCAGCCTTGTTGGCCATCCCTCCCACTCATGTACCTCTTGTTGCTCGTTTCAGAAAGATTTCAGAGTACAAGAACTCCCACTGGCTCGTATTAAGAAGATCATGAAACTGGATGAAGATGTGAAGGTGAATTAATGTTCTTTTTATGGTTTGTATTGAAGCTAAAACATACTGATCGTTTCTCTAGAGCAAAAATAAAAATGAAAACATTGTTTTCTGTTGCCTTTTTGTTTTATTTGGCTTCAGTTCTAAAGTGAAGTAACCTTAACCATATCTTTTTTTTTTTTTTTTGGAGACAGGGTCTCCTTTCTCCTTGTAGTCCTGGCTGGTATGGAACATGCCATATAGATCAGGCTGGCCTCGAACTCATGGAGATCCATCTGCCTCTGTCTCCCTGAGTGCTGGGATTAAAGGCATGCACCACCACGCCCAGCTTAAAACAGTTTTAGTTATTGTATGAAGCATCTCTGAAAATCAGGGATAATCATTTTTCCAGATACTTAGTATTTGCTATTAATCAGGTGGTATCCCTAATTCTTTTCACTTTGTAGTATAAACAGTGTAGTCTTCTTATCATTTTGCTCTAGTCTCTAGCTTATTGATCTGAGCTGTAAGAAATTTTTAATGATGAGATTGTACCTGTCCTGATCTTTTGACCTATAACCTTTTTAAACACACATGAGCAAATCGTACATGCGAGAGGGTTCCATGACTCTGGCCATTTCTTTATTTCTTTTTCACCTGGAACTTGCTAAATAGACCAGGCTGGCCTTGAACTCAAAGAGATCTTCCTGCCTCTGCCTCCAAGTGCTAGGACTATAGCCCAGCTCACCATTTCTTTGTTTCTAAGAGTTCACTTCTAGGAGTTCATTTCTGATTATGACTCTTAGGAAAAGAACGGCTCTGTCTCTTTACCTCTCAAAATTAATAATGTATTTGAATTTGCAAAGAAAACTACCAGTTCATACTGCATTTCCCCTTTTATTAGCTCCCTTGCAGTAACCCTGTGAGAGTCAGTGGGATAAGCATTCCTTTTGTTTTGTTTATTGAGAGCAGGTGTCACCTTTGTATCCCAGGCTGGCCTGGAAGTCCTGATCATCCTGCCCTCTGCCTCCTCAATACTAGGCTTATAGATGTGTGCCACCATGCCTATCCATTTTGCAGTTACAGAAGTAGGCACAACGAGGTGAAATGACTCACTTATGTTGGTAGAACCAAGATCCCAGTTCTCTGGCTTTTTTTTAATCTTTTTGAGATAGGGTCTCCTAGTAGCTGACTCACTTGGTAGACCAGGCTGGCCTTGAACTTACAGAGATCTGCCTGCCTCTCTCTGCCTTCCCAAGTGCTGGAACTACAGGTGTGCGCCACCATACAGCTTTAATTAAGACCTTGAATTCAGAAGTCAGGCGCTTCCCTTCAGCTTAATATATGCTGGGCACACAAGCTATCCCATTTAATTCCCCAGTAATACTCGAAACTTACCCTATTTTTTTTAGTTTGAGAGAAACAAAGCCTAGAAATGTGAGATTTTTATCCAACCTAAACTTTGCTATTTACTGGCTCTGTAGTTAGGGATAGGTCACTTCTTCTAAACCCTAGTTTCTTTGAAAGGCTGTTAGAAAGGTAAGAAAGCATGTATATTCTTGTTATCCCAGTACTTGGGAGGTAGAGGCAAGAAAATTGGGCTTTTTCAAAAAGAGATATCTGTATTATTTTTTAAATTATGTGTATATGTGTATGTCTTTGGTAATTAGGTGTTCATAGTGAAGGTACCAGGGGAACCCAGAAGAAGGTGTCAGATCCCCTGGATGTAGAGTTAGAAGTGGTTGTGAGCCATCCAGCATGGATGCTGGGAACTGAACTTGGGTCCTCTGAAAGAGCAGTATGTTTTCTTAACCACTGAGCCATCTCTCTAGCCCCTCAAAGATCAGGTCATCTTCAGCTGTAGTGAATTAGAGGCTACCATGAACTATAGGAGACACTGCCTAAAACCTAAACAAAGCACATTGCATAGGGCCTGGCACATGATGGCAGCTAGGTAAGTAAGCCTTCTTTCCCCCTCTTCCCTTCTTTCTGCTACGTGCCCTACTCTGGGAGTTTTTTTACTCTGGAATCTCCATGGCAGGCCTTGAGGCAAGAGAGTGACTGGCTTGAATGATTTTCCTGGTGATTGACAGAGTAGGTCTATATCTCTTGCAGATGATCAGTGCGGAAGCCCCTGTGCTCTTTGCCAAGGCAGCCCAGATTTTTATCACGGAGCTGACTCTTCGAGCCTGGATCCACACAGAGGATAACAAACGCCGTACTCTTCAGGTAATACTGCAGATTTACATTGGGAAAACAAGGACAAGCAGATGCCTTTGCCTGTTCCTCTTGTATGGCTTTGGACCAAAGATGGCTCTTTCTTACAGCCTCTGTCAGTCTGATATGTAATGTAGCTGTCATCTTTCTCTGTTGGAATACAGGCATACTTTATAGCCACATTGGTGGTTTTTCCCTTCTAAGAATCTCGATTTCTAGTTCTCACATGACTAGCTCAGTGTTGGAATCCTTCCCTTGGTGAGTCTCCATCTAAGCAGAGACTTAAGTGATCGAGTGCTTACATCCATCCGTATGTTTCCAGATGTAACACCTTGTGGTTTGGAGCCAAGGAGCCTTGAGAGACTCCAGGAAAAGACAATCCTAGGAAGAATCCAAGAGCTCACAAACATCATTAGATATTTTTGTTCCTTGTCTGCCTTCTTTTTGTTCTCCCTGTGTTTTAATCTAGCAAATCAACATTCATATTGCAATTAGAACTCTTGGTGATATTAGTACTTAAAACCTTTCTTTATCAGCTAGGCCCTAGGTCTTAGAGAAAACATTTCCCAGGTGCGCAATGAAGGATGTGACCGATACAAGACACTGACCATATTTTAATAAGCCAAGGATGTTCTGTTCTCTTGTTTTCCTTTGCTTACAAAATTGGAAATAAGTATTGTCTTCTCTTTCTATAAAATGAATACCTATAACATGGCACGTACTGCTATAGGCCCTATGAATAAACAATGTACAAAACAGACCAGATCATATCCTTGTAGAGTCTGCTTTCTAGTACAGATAGACATTGAATATAAAGTTAAGATTTGTAACCAGGCATGATGGTACAAGCCTATAATCCCAATACTCAGGATGATTGTTGAGAGCTTGAGGCTAGTCTGGCCTACATAGTAAGTTCTAGGCCAGCTAGAGGTAAAAATAGCACAGCTGGGGCTGGAGAGATGGCTCAGTGGTTAAGAACATTGATTGCTCTTGCAGAGGACCTGGGTTTGATTCCCAACACCCACATGGCAGCTAGCAACCATCCATAACTCCAGTTCCAGGGATCCAACACCTTCTTCTGACCTCTGCAGGCATTACATGACATAGGTGTACTTGCATACATGAAGGCAGTGCTCATACACATAAAATAAAAAAATATAGGGCGTGGTGGCACACACCTGTAGTCCCAGCACTTGGGAGGCAGAGGCAGGTGGATCTCTGTGAGTTCAAGGCCAGCCTGGTCTACATAGTTCCAGGCCAGCTGGGGCTACAGGG